AATTTGTGTGTGTGTGTGTGTGTGTGTGTGTGTGTGTGTGTGTGTGTGTGTGTGTGTGTGTAGACTCTTTCACATGATATTTATTCAGCAATTTCAGGAATTTATATCTCCCTTTTATCTTTCATGGTTCAGCCAATAGTTCTAAATGGACCACATGTCATTATATTAAACCACACAGAAGAACTTACTTTAACTTTTCTGGGTATCGCGGTTTAAGAATCTATTAAAGTGTACAGTTCAACAATCCACTTTATATTGAAGGTGAATTTGAGGCAAAAGAGACAAACTGCAAAATTCAACAATACAGTATCTCCAATACATACAATAATGGGGCAGTCTAGGAAAGGAAAAGCACAATATATTTACTTTGTTTTCAATATCATTTATGATTTTTTTTCCTCACTGAGTATCTCTTTAATAGCGTAATGCATAACCCAATCCTCTTTTGAAGCAGATGTTTTTTTTATTTACAGCGTGGTAACCAAGTTCTACCAACACCTCTTGACTTTAGTCTTTGCCGTGAAAGAGATCAACAAGGATCCTCCCATCTTGCCCAACGTCACTCTTGGATTCCACATCTATGACACCTATTCTGATTCTCGAATGACCTACCGTACCACTCTGGACCTGCTTTTTAAATTGCATAAAATGGTCCCCAACTATATTTGTGGAACCGAAAAGAAAATTGCGGGGATCATTGGAGGGATGAGCCCTGAAACGTCCATACGCATGGCAGAAATATTGCAGCTTTTCAAGATCCCACAGGTTGAACTATAGATTAGCCAGGCAGAATGGAACAACTAGCTGTGGCCAACTCATCATTGCCAACTCATCATTGCCAACTCATCATTGCCAACTCACCATTGCCAACTCACCGCAGTACAACTTGTCACAAGACAACTCAACATGAGATAACTATTATTAATAGTAATATTAATGATACTAAGAGGGGAGAGGCTCTAGAGTACAGTTATCTTCAATTAAGTTATCCCTGGGCAAGTTGTTCTGCAGTGAGTTGACTGTGTCATGTTGGTAGTGACCCTAGATTAAGATGAGTGGACTTGTGAAATTGCTATCACAGAGATTATCAATCTATATTTTTCCCTTCAAGGAACAATTTCATGGTTCATCAGTGAAGAGATGTAGAATTAGATAAGAAACAATGTAAGGTTCAGAGGTGACACAGTGGCTCAGTGGCTAAGACACTGAGCTTGTTGATCAGAACGGTTGGCAGTTCGGCAGTTCAAATCCCTAGCGCCATGTAATGGAGTGAGCTCCCGTTACTTGTTCCAGATTCTGCCAGATTCTAGCAGTTCAAAAGCACATAAAAATGCAAGTAGAAAAAATAGGGACCACCTTTGGTGGGAAGGTAACAGTGTTCTGTGTGCTTTCAGCGTTTAGTCATGCCAGGCACATGACCACGGAGACGTCTTCAGACAGCGCTGGCTTTGTAATGGAGATGAGCATTGCCCCCTAGAGTCGGGAATGTCTAGCACATATGTGCAAGGGGAACCTTTACCTTTTAAGGTTCAGAGTGTGATTAATATGAATTTTGCTTCAGGAGATGGCTGCTTTCAGCAATTGCAACATACAGAATTTTAGAGCAAAGTTGAATGTGTGTGGTTATGATACTTATCTGTTGTGGCCCAGCAGGAGCTGTTGGAGCAGTGGGGAGGAGACAAGGGTGTGTGATCCTGATGTCATGCATTGGAGCAATGGGGAGGAGACTAGGGAGGTGATCCTGGATGCCCGGCAACGGCGGGCAGATCGACGTAGAGAGCAGCTACGCAGTTACAAAAGATAATTGGATCCAGGTGATTATAATTAGGCTCCTATCAAGATTGTATTTAAAGAGAGACTGGGAGGAGCCTGATTTTGCAGGATTCAATGTCATTCCTAACGCTGGAGAAGCTGTTATCTGTNCTAGGGATTCGAACTGCCGAATGGCCAACCCTTCTGATTGACAAGTTCAGTGTCTTAGCCACTGAGCCACCGCATTCCTTTATTCAGACATAGAAGAAGCTGAAGGTTAGGAACAGATTAAGTACTGAGACATGACATATTCTTAAAACAGATCTCAACACAGTTGTTCTAGCAGTTGTTCTGCCGACCTCTTGCTTGAATCAGGGCTTCTGACAACATCAGTACAGAAGAAGTGAAATGAGCAGGAATGTTGGGCATTTTTGCAATATTACTGTTTCCCGAATGGGCCATGAAGGTACAACCTCTGAATTGCACGGGAGATAAAGCCATTCGAATTCCCCACGAATGGTACCAAGAGGGAGGACTTCTCATTGGTGGATTGATGTCCCATTTCCATTACCTCTTCCCCCAAGTTATTTTCAATCGACATCCTTCTGAGGAATCGGTTAACATACCATTGTAAGAAATCACTCTCTTGCCTGATCTTAATCTAACCTTGCTCTCTTCTTTCCATCTCTGTAAAAGAGAAAGGTGGCATCATCGTGTGATAACGAATAGAAATGTCTGATCCTTTGTCACAGCTTAATAAATAGAAATAAATTAACTCAGCGTCCTATTTTAGACAATTGAACACAAAGCCAATAGACTAGGACCCTGATAGCGAACCTATAGCACGCGTGCCAGAAGTGGCATGCAGAGACATCTCTGTGGGCACATTCCCCATCACCAGCTCCTCTTTTAATTTCCAGCGCACACAACGGAGTGTGGAAAATGGCTGAAAACCGCCCCAAAACAGGTTTTTGGCCCAAAAAACAGCCAAAACAACAGGCATCCACGTGCCAGGCAGCTGGTCTTCGGGCTTCTGGTGCGACGGTGCGCATATATGCACACGCATTCACAGGTGTTCTGGTTTGGACACTCGGTGCTGAAAAGGTTTGCCATCACTGGATTAGGGCAAGCAGCTATTCTATTGAGAACTGAACCCTCTTCCTGGTTGGAGAAAAAAAAAAGCATCAGCCATAATTCACCTTAACATAAAAAGTACTATAATATTTTAGATATACTCTTTTCTATCCTCAGCCTTTCCTTAGACCAGTGGTCCTCAACCTTCCCAATGTGGCGACCCTTTAGTACAGTTCCTCATGTTGTGGTGATCCCCAACCATTAAACTGGTGTCTCGGTTCCTAAGACCATCGAAAATATGTGTTTTATGATGGTCTTAGGTGACCCCTATGAAAAGGTCATTCAACCCCCAAAGGGGTCCCAACCCCCAGGTTGAGAACCGCTGCCTTAGACCATTGAGTCCAGCAATGCATTGACAGTGGACTGAAAAATAATTTCCAAAACTTTGGGGAGGCATTAGTTATTCATGTCATGACTGCCATTTTTTAATGTACCAGTTAAACTTTTGAGGTCCACTTGTCCTGTTTCAAAATATCTCCAGGCTTCTTGCAATCTTAGGAATGAGCAATGCAACGGGGCGATACAAACATTCTCCAGAAGGGTAGAAACACAGATTGTTCTATACTCACAATCTTCTCTGAAATTCTTACAGCAGAAACAATTCTCCATGGGAAGAAACCTGAATTTCTAAATAGGTGGCTGGGATTCTCAGATGCATTGCTGACCTAGTCTGAAATATTTACTCATAAATTAGTTACACTCAGCTCAGATTCTCACTGAAAAATCAACCCATTCCATTTTTTTTCCATCTCAGTAATTTCTTCAAAGTTTTGGCGCTCATCTTCTGGAATGATTTAATGATTACTGCTGCTCTCCCATACAATTGTCATTACAAAGAGCAAAATGTTTTTACAAGATTGAATGGTATTAGCAGATTGTGCAGTAATTAATAAGGTGAATGTGTTCCAATTGTAGATCAAATGAAAATTGATAAAGGACTAAAATTCACATGGAAAAATTTAGATAAAAATAATCTCTCCTTTCTAAAGCCTGGATAATATGAATTTGTGTGTGTGTGTGTGTGTGTGTGTGTGTGTGTGTGTGTGTGTGTGTGTGTGTGTGTGTAGACTCTTTCACATGATATTTATTCAGCAATTTCAGGAATT